ATAAGTGTAAATATCATTTAAGCTCTGTAATAATTGTTATTTATTTTGTTGTTTTTCTCCTCACCATGCTATGTCAAGAGGACACTAGATTCAACATTCGATAACATGCTAAGATTCGCATAGTGTATCGACAATACTGTTTGATTTAATAGAGTCGATAAGATTTAATGCATGTCGTCGGAGAGATTTAGTGTTGGGATATATGTGACTTCTTTTCAGTGCTTTCCAAAACCACTTTGGATATTCGCGATTCGTGATACAATCATTGAAAAAAGTAATTTTTGCTTTCGCTATCGCAAGTTTGACAGAGTACCGTAGAAACCCATTGAGTTCCTTGACTGTCGAGGGATCCTTGCAAATTTTTAATTCATGAAAAATTCCCATTCGAACATTAATAGACAGAAGACAAGTAGTTCAGCCAACCCACTGTTATTAGTATTATTAGTATAGCTATTAATCTCATTTTATATTTTGCACATTTTCGACTTTATTCCTACCGTAAATGTAGAAAAGTTCCTGTGGTTAATTTTATCCATATTTTGAGTAAATTAGATGCAATACTGTGACAAATGCTGAAAATTCCATTCTGGAATAAAGCAGATTATTGTTGTTATTATTATGTGGATACATTTACATCATTGCAAACTATTTTTTTGAGGCGTATCACTGAGTCAACACTACCGAATAAGTTGAACAGAAATTAGACACAGAAGAAAAATACTTTTCAGAGACTTATCGAAGAATAGGCTTAGGTGATCAAAGCTGGACAGGAATTCTTGAAATTTTTACAATGAACTTTCTAACAGCTCCATAAAATCTAGTGAATTTGTTAGTATTATTATTAGCAAGTTGTAGAATCTGTATTAGAGAATTATACGAGGTAATATCCTAACAACTATGCAGAAGACAATGGATACGGATTGAGCATACTCTGAGAAGACACTGAAGTGATACCACACGCCAAGCAGGTCCTCAAATGAGAGAAGTGAAGTGGTGGACGTCCAAGAGTGACATGGAGAAGATCACGTTATGAGAAAGTGAAAGCTTGTACGCAGTTGTGTATCCAGTTGAAAGTGATGCCAAATAACTGAGTGTAGTGGAGCCAGTGAGTGCCACTGAGGCTCAATACTTCTTCACTTAGAATGCAGGGAGTAGATAATACAATACTAACATCCTGACAATACTGTTCTACCTAGTATGCGTCAATTTATCTTTAAAACTCGATTTCAGAAAACTAAGAATAGACGAACCTCGCCTAGTTTACTAGCCAGTCTCAAGTCATGGTAAAGAGGGAGGGTTGGAGGTAGGGTTAACAACCCCACACTACTAAACCCACCAAACCACTAGAGAAACTTCAACGAACAAGAAAAACAATACAAAATACAAAAAAGTACAAAAAACAAACTTATTCTTCGCTGGAATCGGAGAGGTAAAATGACTCTGCGGGTTGATGAAAGCCTTCGGGAAGCTAGTCAGCCGATGTGTCTTCCCTCGATAAAAGCAAGAATAAGATTGGGGACTTGGAATGTACGTACAATGCCCCAAGTCTTTATCAACCTCATTCAACAGCTGGCTATATGACAATGCCTACCACGTGTCAGGTGATCCACAACGGGAAACTCAGCAAAGCCTGTCTTTGAAGTGAATACAGGAGTAAGATAAGGCTGGCTGGCTGCCTGTTATCATCAATGATGACATTCCTAATTGTGGTAGACTGGATTAGGTGGAAGACACGAATATGTTGGACTGATAAGTAGACTCCAGAAGATCTGGATTTCGCGGCGGATGATCTATGTCTGATGACACACAAGCTTGAAGACTTGCAGGAGAAAACCAACAAACTGGCAGGAGACGCCAACAGCGAAAACAATACTTCAAGTGAACATAGAGAAGACGAGATTGATG